TCATTGATTAGCTGGGATAATACTGGTCTTAAAATTGCTTTTTTGTCATTTTATTTTATTGTCATCTCTTTAAAGAAAAAAATTCCCAAGCCATTATGGATAAAAACTTGTGTTAGAGAAAATTTCAGCTGTGTGTCAGATGGCATATTTTTTAGTAAGAGACAATGATTAAAACATTCTGCCCACAGGGTCAGGAATGCAGATGGAGGGAGGGGGTAGATAAAGACTATGTATTGTTAGTTCTCCTGCTTGAGCATATTGAATAAGAACCAGGAGTTATAACGTGTAGTGAAACCCGAAAGAGTAGCTCAGACCTTTCTATCTGATTTGGGAACAGTGGAGAGGTAAACCAAGGCCTTTTCTTTGTAATTGAGTCTAAAGACTCAGGCTGAGTGAATTGGAAGCTTGTGGTGAAAACAAAAAGCAGTTATCTGAAACTGAGAATGTCTGATGATTGGGGACATGCTGCTGGCAAAGTTTTTTAAATTTAAGCTCAAAAGTTTAAGAGGAAAATTACAGATTGCTAGAGAAGTCATAGTATGTATCATTTTCTCTTGCATTTCACATTTTCTAATATTGCTAATTTGTTTTATAGTTCATGTTAAGTCTCGTTCTTTTTTTTTGTTTAATTAACTAGCTAGCTCTTAAGTCTCATTCTTTAAGATACTGAAAGGAAGTGGAAAATCATGTCTTAAAACTTTGCTGGAAACTAAAAAAATAAGTCATTGTTTAGACTGGTGGTCATCACTTACTGCCTAGTATTTTAATAAATGTACTAGTAACTGAAATCTGTGTGGTTCCTGGTTCCCACTCACTGTGTTAAGCCTGGTCCAAATCAAGTAGCTGGTATTGTCTGGTCACTGTAACCACTTAAGTTTGTAATTCTTATTCATATTATGACTCATGATTGTATTTCAATAGTATTTGTTTGCATAACCTCTGAAATGCAGAAAGAATAAGGAATTAGATATTAACCTAAGTTTTACAAGCAGGACAGTGGATGTTGATGCCACCATCCAACCAAGACCACCATCTCACTAATTTGCTAGTAGTTTTTTCCCCTTGCCTGTCATTGTCACAGGTGGCCTGGTTTGGTAACGATATTCTATGAAATTATTTAGTTCAATAAGAGAATACAAGACCTCCCTTTG